AGCATCTTGGTCGACGTGAAGGTAACTGAAGAATGTGCTCAGGACGATAAAGGCCATAGAGTGGTTGAGAACAACGATGGTTAGAATCCTACCTAACTATACTTGGCATTTGGTCTATTATATGGTGACTTATTCAGTCAACGATTAAATAAAAATGCCTGTTATGTGGCAGGCACTACTGCAGGGACTTGGGATATATCCGTGGACAAAATACAGTGAATAAATCCTCTTTCATCACGGAGCTCACCTTCCACGCTGACTGCTGATTCCTACTCGGGAAGATTCTTAACTACCAGAACCTAAGAATACATTTTCATACTGTACATTTACGATTCCGTGACCCCAAACAGAAATGCAAACCTCTCTGAGGTGAAGCTGGGCAACCGTGCCAGAGGACAGACACAGCACTTCTGACTTAAGAGTGAGGATGATCTTACCCCGGTGTGGCTGCAGGGAAACTTAAGATGGGCAGGTTGTCAGGCCTCGCCTCTGAGTTGGATCAGAAAAGTGAGCTCAAAACCAAGGCTAAGAGTTGGCGGTGTGACCCTTGAAGATGATTCAAGTTAGCCTGGGGTACCCTCTCTGTTTTCCACTCCCAAACTGGGATTAACTTGAGAATCTTCCATAAATGTAGAGAAACTGGGGGCTTTCCAATCCTAGCCAGGGTAAGCACTATTGCAAGACAAGGCATAGCAAGATGGCCTTGCACTGTGAAAGACAGCAGGGAAGACAGGCAGTACATTTACCTGGAGATACACAGTGAGGCAGGAGATAGACAACAACACAGTCTTGTTCTTAAGGGAGAAAATTAGAGACACGGAATTTTTCCCAGACTGCTAAAAGCCATATGCAGATGAAGATAAAATACTAAGAGATAAGTTGCTGGTCACTGTTTCTACAAAAAGACACCTAAAGGTAAGTGAATCAGGCAAGACTCAAGAGTGGGCAAATTTATTAATATTAACCCCAACCCAGGATTTTCAAACCATTTCAAACTTTTAGGTTCCCACAGCCTCAAATATATGAGACTAAATATTTAAAATGTATTTTGACTTAGTTATGAAAAGATTCACCAATCTTTTTTTGAATAATATTATAAGTTTCATTTAGCTCCCGATGACTCCCAATGCTCTGTGTCATATTTGCAATTGATAGACCTTTTCTGTAAATTTGGCTATATTTTATATGTATGTGAAAAATCCATTTCCTACAATTAAATAGAAACTTTTTGCATGGGTGAAAGAATCTGCATTCCCAAATATGCCAGTCCTGGTGGCAAAATCATCCTGCTGTAGTCAAAAGAAAATAAATGGCACAGATACAAAGATCCTATTTCTAACTTCAGGCTGCACAGAACTGCTCTTAAATGTGCAGTTTCCATCCAAGTTCCTGGTTGTCCCTTGAGAGAGAGGTCAGTTCTGCTACTGCCTATAGCAAGGTGAGAAAAGGTCCCACCACCTGCAGAAAATGCAAGCTCTTCTGTTTGCTTTCTGAGCAGTAGTGTTCACTGTTCTGAGATAATGGCCTTAGTCACACCACAAAGCACAGGTGGGACCTCGAGCTGATAGCTGGTGGGGTGGGTATGTGGTCATGAATGTGCGTGTGCGAGTGAGTTAGCCAAAGGGTTCCGCAAGAACTTCGATAGAGCACACAGGACAGGCGACCTTGGTCCCAGAGATGGCCCATTTTACTGAGCTGCACTGCCAGGAAACCAGTGAGCCTGCTGGTCACCAGGGCTCTCGGGCTCAGAATTGAGTCTAAGGTACAAGCTGCAGATGACAAAGGGGGCTCCTCCCTTCAGCTCCTTGAAACTTGTAGCAATTGGGGGAGCTAGAAATTGACTCGCACAGTGGGGGTCTAAAACCAATATTGTCAATAAATAGCCACCTTCCCTTATTGTCAATAAATAGCCTCCTTACTCCTTTTGGGCCATTTTATCACCTTCCTCAACCTTTAATCATAAAAGTAATTTGTCCAGTGAAACATGCTCTAAGTGGATAAATGGCTATGAGAAAGCACTTAGCTGAGCAAGGAAGAGCATTTTATGAATAGAAAAGGAAATGCCATCTTTATTGACATGAAAAAATTCATATGGTCACTGTATTTTGTGTTAACATTTGGCCAAACCAACTCCATAGACTTATCTTGGGCGTGAAGCTGCCGCCATGGGTGTGTGAGCCACCAAGAGGTATGTGCTAAGCACTCAATAGGATAACGCTGGCTCTCCTGCTAAAAGCAAGGTATACATGTGGCTTTTATCTGGCTGGTTTAGCCAGCAGAACAGAGCAATTTGCTCAGTGAAAAGTTACCTCGATTATGGAAATTTTTAGATTGGCTATTTTGTAACTGGGTCTTTAGAAATCAATGTATCAATATTTTATATTTTCACAGAGACAGTTAAATCACTTTGCATTTGGGAATGTTTTATTTTCTTTGGAGCATATCTAGTCTTCTATAAAAATAATACTAAGTTTCTACTACAAAGTTGGGGGAAAAGGAAACACAAAGTATAGTAAAAATAATTGATAAATAACTTTTCTTAGACATTTATTTACAAAAATGAAATCTTGGCCATGGTATAGCATCTGTCCAAAGCCCTTTTGGGACCCTTTAAAATTAAAAATGTAATTAAAAACATAATTCATGTATCAAGCACAACATCCTTTGTGCATTAATTATTCCCATGAATTTAATTCCCATGAATTCTTTACACCCCCAAATCAGTAATAAGGGAAAACAAATTTATTTCCTGGTTGTATTTTCTTAGCCTCTTTTATACTTTGTAGTTTCTAAGAAAAACAAAATAAAACAAACATACAATGAAAAACATCTGACCATCATAGCAAAATCTACTTTGCCTACTTTCTCTAGCATCACCAAGTGAATTCTACAAGTCTTTGAGATACACCGAAATCTTTCATTTGTACTGCAGATTCTGATTAAAGCCCAAACCTACCATTTTGAAAGTACCTCGGCCCAAATGACAAAAAAAAAAAAAAAAAAGCTTTTTTTTTTTTTTTCCTTTAAAAGCTACACCCAAAACATTTGCTGGAGAAACTTTCTGAATAGTGACATTGCCCAGTAAAACACATGCAGTAGGCAAAATATCAAATTTCTTTTTCCAGCTGTCCAGAGTCCCATTAGTGTCTCTTACTTCTATCAGTCTTTTGCTATAATTAGGACGGCTCAGGGTTTGTCTGGGCCTTTTTTCAAAACCAGATTTCCTTCCTGGCAGCGGCAGCTGTCATGCACAAGTACCCTGATGGGATCGAGAGGCTTATTTTGGTTTACATTATAAGACAGCAATTGTGAGCACAAAGTGAAGAGAAAGACACACACACACACACACACACACACACACACACACACCTTTATCTTATAATTTTTTTAAAAAAGGGGAGTCTTACCTGAAGATGATCACTGAGGTATGGAACTTGACTTGTTTCAAATAGATCAGTAACCTGCATCCCTTCTCCCCGGAAATGTGTGTTCCCTTCTTTGGAGATTGAGTCTGTTGGAATTTGAAGGGTTTTTGGTTCTTGCTCTGCAAGGGTTGAAATAACACGTCCTCCTGCGTGGACGTGGGAATTCCCATCCTCGGCGTCTGCTTTGCCATGGGAAATGCCTCCTGCATCTCTCTGGGTGAGCGGGTGCTTAGCAGGTTCCTTGGGACAGGGGAGATGCAGGGTGCCTTCTGCTGTCCTTTGTTTCAGGCTGGTGTTCAGCTTCTTGGGTTTTCCTTTAATTCCCAGTCGCCTCCCCCTGACAGGTTTCTGTGAGCCCCTCTTGCTCCACGAGTCCTTCTCCTCTACTCTCTTCTCAGCTGAGGCCTCTGAACATCGGTTCACCCCCGGTTTCTCTAACTCACCAGACAAGGGCTTCGTCTCTGTGTCTGTCGCTGCGTTATCCATGTTTAGCAGATTGTCACTGGCGAATTCCTCTCTTGCTTGGTGGCTGTCTCTGGTTTCTCCTTGAATTCCTGGATAATCATTTCCAGCAGCCTCCGACGCCGTGGGGAGTTTATATCTCCCCTGTTCGGCCACCACAGACGTGCCGTCCCGGTGAGGTCCCAGAGTGAGAGTCATCCCTGTTTGTGGGCCAGAGGGGCCGTGCGTGGGGACTCTGCCGCTCCTCACCGCCACTTCTTGGGGTTGTGAGTGATAACCACAGAAGCCACTGGTGCCATCCATGGGCCCGGTGTCACCCGACACCCGAGGCCCACAACCCGTTCCACTGAGGAAATGCTCACACCCACCCAGGCAGCACTCGCTGAATTCCATCTCTTCGTCATCGCTTTCTAATAAAAAAACATGCTCAGTCCCCTGCAGGTGCCTTTGCCAGACTGCATTAGAGTAATCTGTCATTACGTCGGAACATTCCAGATACTCCAGGTCATCATCTGAAAACTCCTCGGTTAGGGTTATCTCTGGGCAAAGTTCATAGTCACTGTCAGAGTCTTCGCTGCAGACCTGTGGGCCATGGTGTTTGTTGACAGTGGCACTGCCACCTGGGTAAATGTGCGCGGTTGCCTCAGACAGCGGGAGGCTGAAGCTAATGTATTTCTGGACTTTTGGGTTTTGATGACTGGAGCTTGAGACTCCATCGTTAGGGCCGTCATTGTTCTGGCCACCATCCATGAACCCTGATGCTTGGGAACGCACTGTCCTGTGGCCGCATACATCTTGTTTTGGGGGGGTATTACTTGAATTCAGAAAAAGCAACCCATCTGCAATTTCTTCTGTGCTACTCAGGTCATGAGCCTCTCCAGTTTGCTTTGTTCCTTCAACACCCAAAGGACTCTCAGAGCTGGATGCGCTGATGTCGCTATTGGCCAATAACTGGGGTGAAGGGAAATGGCTGGGTCTGGTGGGGGAGGAGCCAGCTGCTGTGGGAGTGGCCAGGGCGATGCTTCCTTCTTTCTTACGGGCACTGTCTTTCTCATCAGTTTGATTTGCACTTCCCTCCTCATGTTTCCAACCTGTGTCCCTGTCATCTTCCAGGTTAGGAGACAGTTGTGGGTTCTCTGCCAAGCACTGGACCTCAACAGAAGCAGAACAGCAGATCATTCCAAAACAGTTTTTGGCTGAGATTTGATAAACAGCAGCATCATGTGGGGTACAGCTAGGATGAAGAGAACACACAGGTAAGTTTGCCATCTTTGGACATCCTGGAACATAGAGCAAATGAGCATCACTGACGGCATGCTCAGGAGACCTGTGGTCTCTCTGGAAAAGGGTTTGTGGTTAAAGGCAACCAGCCTCTGGGTTCTACCAGCCCCTGTTCCGAGTCCTGCAAAGCTGAGCATTTTCTCTCCCAGCTGTCCCGAGTCTTACCCCAAACTGAAAATGCTGCCAGTTACTTAGATGAATGAGGAAAATGTTTTATTCTATATATCCTAGTTCCTTCTTCTCTCTTTTTATTTTAAGTCATTTTTATGTTGTGAGAAATTGAAAAAAGCATTATTTTTCTGGAGTGAGACATTGTACGCAAATAAGTGAAGAATTCTTCACTCGGTGGTTGAGCATAAGCAATGACTCTTTTTAGGAGCATGCTAAGGAGGCGTGATTCCTGCAGGGAGCCTGCACAGATAATGCCACGATAGGATTATGTGTAGGAAGGACAGTGCCGATTCCTTTTTAATTTAATGTGACGCAAAGTTCTAAACCACAGCCCGTGAGCCCCCACTGGCTGGAAACCATGTCCACATGCCACTCCGACTAACACAGATCAAGCCAGGTGTTTGGCTTTGGCCCAGCAGGGAAGGAACAGAATCTTGGATCGGACCAAGCCGGCTCTCTCGTTCCAAGAGGGACAGTGCCTGTGGCTCCTCCCTTTACTGCTTGGAGCCACAGGGAGCCTGGAGCCTGATTGCTTTGCTGAGTCCTTTCTCACTGGGACCCTTCCCCAGACACTGTGATCCCAATAAAAACTCGATACACTTGTTTATAAGTCACACTCTTATTGATCTCATTTGACCTCATTGTAGCTGCAATGACGCTGACCCCACTCCAGGTACCAGCCGGGTCAGAAGTCAACCAACCATGTGCAGAAGGCAGGAGCTTGGGTCTGGCTTGGACTTAGAGGCAATGGTTAGATCTTTACTGACTGTTCTCTCTGTAAAATATACACCAATCTTTAATTCAGGAAGGCTCAGTGTTAAGTGCAGACAACTCCAACACAGTCTTCCTTATCTTTTCTCCTCTTCACTGAGGGATCCCTTGCATCTTCAAATGTGCTCTAAGCCCTCCATCGGAGGGTGCCCACTAACATAGGTCTCATGTTCAGAAGTCAGAGAAGAATTCCTATTTCAATAATGTTATGTTTCGTTGGCAACCTGGCACAGGTAGAGGCCATTCAGGAGTGGCTGAGGTTGGCTCAACAAGAGTGAGACCCATCTCTGCAAAAAATAGAAAAAAATTAGCCAGGCATGGTGGCACATGCCTGTAGTCTCAGATACTCAGAAGGCTGAGGCAGAAGGATCACTTGAGCCCAGGAGTTGGAGGTTGCAGTGAGCTATGATCATGCCACTGCACTCCAGCCAGGGAGACAGAGTGAGACTCTGTCTCAAAAAAAAAAAGAATCAAGGAAAACGAAAAGAAGTTGAAAAAAATATAGAGGAAATAATTGACTTAAATATACTGTATTTAACTTCTTAACAACTAAATGAACAGATTGGAGATTGTCATGATTTAGTGATGTATAAACTTACAGAACATGTGTTTTAGTTGATGTGAGATTTACAATCCATCCTAAATACACTAAGTAAAGAGGAAAAGGAACTGGATTAAGTATAATTAACTTCTCCCATAGCTAATGAGTGCCTTTGAAAGGGTTATGATTTATGGCTGACACATGCTTGATAATTATCTCTAAGCATCCTAAAGAAGTGGGGGAGAAAACTGGGTGAGAAACCCTGCATCTGTTGGATGCCTCCTATGTTAGACAATGTCGGGGGGTGCAGTGGCTCATGCATAAAACCCCAGTGCTTTGGGAGGCTGAGGCGGGAGTATCACTTGAGACCAGGAGTTTGAGATCAGCCTGGGCAACGAAGTGAGACCTTGCCTCTCCAAAAAAAAATTAAAATTAGCTGGGCATAGTGGCACATGACTACAGTCCCAGGTACTCAGGAGGCTGAGGCAGGAGGATTGCCTGAGCCCAGGAGTGCGAGGCTGTGGTGAGCTATGCTACATGGTACTGCACTCTAGCCTGGGTGACAGAGAAATTCTCTGTCTTTAAAAATAAAAAAAGCAAAAACCAATGTCAGCCCCATGTGCAAAACTGAGGCTCAAAGGAGTAAGTAATTTCCCCAAAGTGACAAAGCCAGTAAGCAGTAGTGTTGGGACAAGAAAGCAGAGCCTTCTGACCCTGAAGCCTGGCTCTGTGCATGCTGATAGAAAACTACCATGTTTCCCCGAAAATAAGACCTACCTATAAAATAAGCCCTAGCAGGATTTCTAAGCATTTGCCCAATATAAGCCCTACCCCGAAAATAAGCCCTAGTGATGGGCGTGGCTACGCAGAGCATCTGCACAACCCATGCATTTCCTCGCAGAGCGGTAAAGAAGATGAGCAGCCCTTCTCATCTGCCCCATGAGAGCTCTAGTGCTGGACATGAGAGATGGGGGCCAATGGTTCTAAAGGAAATAGAGTCACAAGAAATTCAGGATGGAATTCGGGGTTTGGAGAGTTATGATGATTTCCCAGAAGAAGACGACTTAACTATATTTGAATAAATGTAGATTGTTGTACCGTACTTAAAAACAAAAAAATCCCTTAAAAATAAGCCCTAGGGTGTCTTCTTGAGGAAAAATAAGTATAAGACCCTGTCTTATTTTCGGGGAAACATCGTAACATTCAGCAAAAGGAAACAACAGTGTAAAGAGATCATTCAACAAGTGAAGTGTTCCTGCCGTCTGTCTTGGTCTTGATCAGTCAGTTGGCAGATGAGCCTGGAGTGGGTAGAGATGCCCAACTTTATGATAGAGCTGAGGAGGGGTGAAGGAGATGCCTGTGGCATCCCATCCAGCCTCAAAATGACTAAAAGTCGACTTAAGGAAAAAGTATTAATTTCTCAGAGAACCTCGTAGGGCCCTCTGTGCTCAGTTGTGCAATATAAATTGGAAGGGAAAGAGAGTTCATAGAAGGGCCTTCAACGGCAGCAGTGAAGATGGTGGGAGTAGGGTGGGGTGTAGAGTCTTTGCAAGACGCTGGCAGAGAGACCTGTGTGCCCTACCGTGACTTGACAGCAATGCAGAACCATCCAGGAAGAAAGTCCCTGAACAATTAATTGAATTCCCTCCTTGCATATCTTTTCTTTTGGCTGAGGGAAGCAATAGCATTCCTCCCGCATGCTGTGAAAGTCTTACTTGAATTCTCTAGGTTCTTTCCTAATCATTTCCTTAGTAAAGAAAAAGAGGTCCTTAAGTGGATGGGGCTCCTGAGTTTGAACCCCTAGAATTGGTCTAAACCAGAGGTTCTAAAACATTTTGGTATCGGGACTCTTTTATACTCTTAAAAATAATCGAGAGCAACAAAGACCTTTTTTTAATGTGGATTATATCTATCAATATTTACCATATTAAAATTAAAACAGAAAAAATTAAAATATTTAATTAATTTTAAAAGAACAAAAATAAATTTGTTACATATGAGCATAAATAAAATTGTTTATGAAAAATAACTATATTTTTCCAAAACAAAGTTTCATAAGAGTGGCATTGTTTTACATTTTTCACATATCTTTAATATTGGGCTTAATATAAGACAGTTGGGTTTTTTTAATCTTCTTCTGTATTCACTGTGATGCAATACATTATTTTAATAAAAGTATATGAAGAAAATTTGGCCTCACACAGAAATGTAGTTGGAAAAGAAAGGAGTATTTTAATAGTCTTTTTATCCAATTACAGATATTCTTTGATACTATATATAGATTAATTATAATGTGGAATTTAAACCACATCAGTGAACTTCCCATACTTGTTACATAAAATCCATTAGTCTGTACTGAATTTTAAATGCATCTTTTACCCATGCATGACTTTGTAACATCATGCATTGGTCACTTGGAAAAACTTGGCTCATGAGATCTTTCAAATGTTAATATATTTCCTTATACCATATTTTTAAAAACCATATTCAATAATATTACCACTAATTTTATCAGGGCAATTTTAAAGTATTAGGAAATTATCAAGCTTCTGATGGAAAATATTGAGTTTTCCAAAATTCTACTTAGCATAATATGAATACTAATTTATCAGAGAACAGTGTGAATCAATTCTGTGCCTAGTCATATGGTAGAAAGTAGAAGGATGGCAGACACCAGCAAAAATTTCAGAGTAAATATCTGAAAATTATCACCACCATAAAAGCAATAAGAACACTATCAAAACTTGTCTGAATCAACTTTTTCAGGGCTCTGAAAATTAACCAAAGGTGATCTGGGGAGCATTTATTTAAGAAAAAATGGCTAAATCTCAGTAAGAACAGTGAGTTTTCCAGTACTTTAACTTGCCCTCGTCTTATCCTCCATAGCCAGCCCCAAAGTTCTCTTAAAAACCAAGACTCCACAATCACAGTGAAAACCAGCAGCCATGGTGGGAGGAGGGAGCTGGGCAGAACAGACTTGGAGCTCCTTCAAAGCCCCAATCACAGTGAAATCCAGTGAAAACCAGCAGCCATGGTGGGAGGAGGGAGCCGGGAAGAACACAGTTGGAGCTCCTTCAAAGCCCCATTCCCAGAGAGTGGTCATTATTTGACCTATCTGGTGTTTCTCCACTTACAAGACTGTCTTTATGTGATCTGACTCAGAGCTCACGCAGTGAGAAAAACCTTTTTCCTAGGGGCATTTGTCTAAAAAAAAAAAAAAAAATCAAAGGCAATTATTTAACACCATGGCTGCCTGAAGCAGTAGATAACAATTGGGGCAAACAATAGGTAACCAAAAAGCTTAAAAGGGAAAGCTTTGGAATGAGATGCCCATGGGGTCATTGAAAAGCTTGGACATTTTCCTGGGTTATAGATGACCATGCGCATGTGTAATGCTGTGAGCATGTTCAGGGCTATGCATGTACTTAGGAAAGGCCTGAGAAAACACTAAGTTCTCCCCTCTAGCTAACCTTAAGTCTCTACTAGCAGGAA